TGAGTCTCTTCTATTTAATTCAATTGGTAGTTGGTATTGCATTTAAGTATTAATTAATAAAGAATAAATATAAAATTTTATTAATAAATTATTAAATTTCAATTTTATTAGAAAAAAAAAATCCATTAAGTTTACTACAATAAAGAGTAAAGTTGAACGGAGTAACTATTATTTTGATTTTATCAAGTTGTTTTAATTTCTCAAACCTAATTGTCCTATCCATTTTTTTTCCCCAAACCTAACCTAATGAACCAAACAAATTTTAACTAATTTCGATTTTTTTTTTCTATCTTTTCATTTCTTTTTTAATGTAGCTTTTCTTCTCGCTTCTGATTTCATGATTGAATAAAATAATTAATACCCACAACACAAGAAACGTGCATGTTATCTTGATAAACCAATCAAGTAATCATCCATGCTTGAGCTGTAATTCCTTCGGTCCTTGCTTCCAGCTTGTTAGCATCCTCTTCACTTCCAAGGAATGTGTGAAGAATCACTGGAGACACATCACACATGTAATTAACACGATGGGATTTCTTTTCGCTTTAGTATTTGTCTCACCAGTTTTTGAAAAGCTCTCTCAATTCTCAAACATGGCTTTTTGTGGCGATTCAATTATGCATGCCTCCTAACGTTATATAGCATAAAAGTTTTAAGGACGGACAATTTCAACCACATAATAAGTGAAATTTAAGTAAAACCAACAATACTTGACTCATTTATCAAATTTTAGTTGAGATCAATATCCTTACATTTTATCATTTTAATAGCAAGACATAATTATTTAGTTAATACCTAATAGTTTTTGTTTTTGAATAGAAAAATACTATTTTGTGGTTAAAACATGAGTAAACTTCACTCTTTTTTTTTTTCTTTTTTTTTTTCATTTTTTGATTGGTTAAAACTCTATTTTGATCATTATATTTTAACAAAATTTCTTTTTTTTTTAGCTTCTCAACTTAAAAAAGCCTTTTTTTAGGTTTTCTATTATTTTTTTGCACATATAACAAATTAGATAATAAAAAAGGAACTAAAAAAAGACTTTTTTTAAAATAAAGAGATTAAAAATGATTTTTTTTATGTAGATGATCAAAAATGAGCTTTTTTTGTCCTTTTAAAGCCCTTTTATTTTGAAATTTTCATTGCACAAAAAGATAACAGAGGGATTAGAAAGAGGTTAAACAATAAATTTTAGAGACTAAAAAAAAGTTCTCTTAAGTTAAGGGATTAAAAAGTAACTTTTTATTAAAATAAAAACATTAAAATAAGACTTTAAACTTTCTTATTTGAATAAGCCAAAGGAGGATAGAGATGTGCATATAATAGTAATGTTTTAAATGTGAAAGATAAGTCTGATTTACTGTAACAATAAAAAAATTCTTAAATGAGTTGTATTTTTTTTATTTTTTTTATAAAATATAAATTTAATTAAAAATTAAAAGCTCAAAAAATAATTGGGTGTTTGGTTTGGAGAAAATTTCTCTTTAAATTTTATTCCTTATAAGATTATTTATATATTTTCACACATAAATACTATAATAAAAGAAAAATAAAAATGATATTTTGAATATTCATTTTTTG